CTACAACCATTTGACTGGCAATCCCCAAAACACAAAGCAGATACTTATCAAAAATTTGAAGCATAATGATTTTCTCTGAGTACTGTTTCAAAAGATTTGCCCAAGAGTTAAGATTTCTTGGGCTTTTTGCATACACTCAGCAAGGCTTTCCCTTCAAATCTCCTCCAAATATCCTATGGTTGTAAATCCCACTTCAGCACAAGCATTACCAGTGCCTTCTGCGCAGCTAACCCATGTCAGAACTCTCTTGCTTAATATTCTTTAACTCTGCAGTCTTGCATATAAACTCTCTCACTCTTCCTAGCTTAGCTACTTCTAGAAATTCAGTGATAGCAAGAACTGCAGATGCTGGAGTCAGAGTCGATACACTGTGGAGTTGGAGGAACACAGCAGGTTAGGCAGCATCAGAGGAGTAGGAGAGTCAATGTTACGGACCTAGACCCTTCATGTCCTTCAATTAACAAGAATTCTAAATTCTTTTATCTAACATGCAAAATTTCAACTGAGTTCTGCTGGAAAGAGATGTTCTCTGTTTTACAACTAGATTGTTTTAATTATATCCCCAAACTGCTTGAAATCAGAACCACACACCTCTCAACTCACAGTTTTAATTAATGTGTGATTGAACCTTTGTCTTGTTTATCCCAGATGATTTGGTCGCATGTTCAATTATTGGAAGCCAGCTGTTTTTTGCAGAATTCTTCTCCTAGAGAAACCTACCTCTTAAAGGGATCATCACTCCAATATAAAGTATAATTTTCCCATGAAATCACAGCCTGGTAACTTTGATCCCCAAAGCTGTCTTTTATGGTAAGCGTATTAAGGGAAACCATCCCTCTAGCACAAGCTAGATGAACCTTCCAACCTTGTTTTAACTCCTTATAACTTTGGTCTTCAATCCAAGCATGGGCTTCCACCATGGCATAATAAACTGTAGAGACTTTCAGCCTCTATCTGCTCTTTCTCTTCCAGGCCCTATACTGATATGATCATAAGAAATAGGAGCATAAGGAGGCCATTAACCCCATTGTACCTGCTTTGCAATTTAGTAAAATTATGACTGGTTTAATCATAGCCTTAACTGCACTTGCCTGTCTATCCTCAGTAACCCTTGACCTTTGTCAATCAAAAGTCTGTCTTGTTCAGCCTTGAATATATTCAATAGCATAGGCATTACTGCCCTGTGTGGAAAATAATTTCAAAAGCCACAGACACTAGCAGACTATCCTAACCACTTGTAATATTCAGTAATATTTTAGGAAATCGAGTAACACAATATTTACAATGGCTCCCCTGTACCCTTCGTAATGATAACATGAATCACATGGACCCTCCATCCAGGTAGAAATGTTGATCGTCTAAAAGTGAGAGCCTAATTTTCTTTTAGATTGCAACTAAATGTGCAGATTAAAAGTACAACAGTATTCAAATCAAGATCCTCAACAGGTTTCTGCAACTTTGGATATTGACATTTAATCCACTGCTAGCAAACAGGCCGCAGCTATTATTTCCAAGCATAAACACATTGCACCCTTTACTCAGTAACTCAATTGCCCGACCCATCCTTTTAATCTTTCACAATACTACCCAAACATGCTCTAATGAAGACTTCAGAGGAGGTTACATATCTCCCTTCATTTTACCCTAAATTACACAACCCCAAAACATTACAGTATGATAAGGCTCATAATTATAATAAAGAAAAATCATTTCATTGTGCTATTATACCTGAAGCAATAAATCAATTTTGACAGAGCAAATGGGAGACATTAATTCCTCTGGCACTTGGTTCAGTAACCTGCAGCTTTGAAATAATTGCTAAAAGAGCTGAAGAGGAAGTAAAGGAAAATTTCTTTCTGCAGAATTTTGGGAAGAACTGAAACACATTGCCTGAACATATGACGAAATTACATTGCATGACAACTTCCAAAAAAACAATTGGACATGATTTTTTGTTTTAAAACATCATTTATATAATATGGGCATCACCAGCTAGGCCAGCATTTATTGCCTATCCTTAATTGTCCTGGAGAAGGTGGTGGCAAGTTTCCTGCACCACTGCATTCCTTAGGATGTAGGGAGAGCGTCAGATCTGTTAGGAAGGATGTTCCAAGATTTTGATTCAGCAACAGGCAAGGAATAGTTTCAAGTCAGCATAACATGTGGCTCGGAGGGGAACTCGTAGATGATGAAGTTCACATGCAATCACAGCATTTGTTTTTCAAAGCATTAGAGGTCATGGGTTTAGAAGGTCCTGTTTAGGAGAAGGCTTGGTAAGTTACCGCTGTTCATATTGTTGTTGGTACATATCGCCGACACTATGTGTTGGTTGTTGAGGGATTGCTTATTGAAGGTGATAAATTGGGTGCCAATCAATTGAGCTGGTTTGTCCTGAATGATGTTGAGCTTATATTGTTGGAGTTGCACCATCACAAACCTGATTTGTACCTTGTAAATGGTGGACAGACTTTGGGAATTCAGGAGGTGAGTTACACAGTGGGGAATTACTAACCTTTGACCCGCTGTCATAGCCATAGTATTTATACGGCTGGTCCAGTTCAGTTTCTGTCAATTGTAATTCTCAGGATGTTGATAGTAGAGGATTCAGTGATGGTAATGTTACTAAATGTCAATGGGCTTTGGTTAGCTTCTCTCTTAGTGGAAAGAGTCATTGTCTAGCACTGTGTGGTTTGAATATTACTTGTTACTTATCAGCCTGAACCTGGGTACTATGAATAGCTTTAGTATCTGAGGAGTTGCAAAATATTCTGAACCTTGTGCAATCATCAGGGAATATCCCCACTTCTGTCCTTATTATGAATGGACTGTCATTGGTGAAGTAGCTGAAAGTGGTTGGGCCTTGAGCACTAACCTGAAAAACTCCTACAATGATGTCCTTGGATTGAAATGATTAAATTCCAACAAACAACACATCTTCCTTATTGCTAATTATGACACCAGCCAGTGGTGAGCTTTGAGTGTAGTGGACAGTTGTCCCATCTGTCATTTTCAGACACATCTCTTGGCAGCAAAATAAAACTGGACAGATTCTTTTTTTAGTACCTTCACTTTTGCACTCCTGCCATCCAAACTATATCACCTTGAAGTAATGGAGTCTTCTAACTGAATATTATTTGTATTGTATAATGTGACCAATTCAACCATTTGAGCAGGTGTGCCTCAGAATGAGGCCATTTTTTGATCATTTCAATAATCCAAATAAACACCGCAAAGATGATAAATACTTTTCTCTCATTATTGGTATTCTTTTGTGAGATGTGGATGTCGCTGGCTGTCAGCATTTGTTGCTCAGGCCGAATTGGCCAGAAGGCCGTTAAGAGTTAATCACATTGCTGTGGGTCTGGAGTCACATGCAGGTCAGACCAGACAGCAAATTTCCTTCCTTAAAGGACATTTGTGAAGTGGATGAGTTTTTACAACAACTAATGGTGATTACGTGGTTGCCGTTAGGCTAGTTTTTATTTCCAGATTTTGTTGAATTCAAATTTCACCCTCCCCCGGATTTCTGGATTATTAGTCCATTGATGTTGTTAAATATTTGATTGTGACTTTATTCATCATTACTTTTAGATTTAGATTATTAGCATGAATTGAGATGGCTTAACAGTGAGGCTTATATTTACAATTCATGACGGATTGTAAATGCAGCTAATGTCATGCTAAATGTGAAGGCAGAGTATTTAGCACTCAGTACAGAGCGTTGGCTACCTGCTACATTAACAGCCATCCTTCGAAATTGACCAACTGTGTCTCTCAGGTATGGTTAGGTGTTTGTCAGTCCGCACTGTTTTATCAGTAAAGAAACTGTCCCCAGTTCCCAAGCACCTGTCAGCAAGAAATATGTATCTGACCACTTCACATCCCCACGGCCGGCCCAGATCTCATTGCTTCTTTCCGACTTTGACCAGGTCGTTTGTATTTTCTTTGCAAAGTAGGTGAACTACATTGGACAGTTGATAAAATGACTGATAATTCGAGCGCTCCGGGGCAAACTTAATATGCAGGTCGGAAGTTCTGCACTGATATAAATATTGCCATGGCATCATGTCATGAAAAAGACGAACACAAGTTTCGCAATAATTACATATTGTGGAGAACAGGGACTGTATATTGCAATGTAACAAACAAGTGTTCTTGTTTTGAAGAACTTTGTATTGAAATCACAGCTCTAGACAGCAATTCAATTGAGGGTGAAACATGTCACTGGTGATGTGACACACTATAAACTGATATTCGGCACCAATGAGAAAGTAAGACTTTACTATAATATTAATAAGTTGTGCTAATTCTAGCAGGGTGCTCCGAAATCACTGTTACATATTCTGCGATTTCACACATTTCTGGATCCTGGTGAAGACGTATTTTGACTATACTCTTCTCCCGGTTTCTCCCAACTGTTGTGAAGTCACTTTACGTTTAACAGTGGCGTAACGGTAAATCTAAAATAAAACACGTGTACTGTGTATCTCCAAACTGTATTATACCAAAACCAATTGATATTCAGGCATAACTCTCAGCGGCAAGGGTATTCTTTTTAGTTTAACAACTTAACAAGGAAGCCAGAAAAAAAGCCAATTTTGTTTAGAATTGAAACGATTAAGCATTGAAAGGAAATCGTCAACGCTGTAGAGATTCTTTCAGGAGGTAGAGAGAACACTTGGTCATCACAGAATAAACTGAACGTGTTTCTCTGTCCTAGGAAACGTTGCGTTTCTAAAATAGAATCGCTGTAATAATGACAGCGGCCAGACAGCTCAGTAAGACAAGTCCTGGGAGTTTGATACATTGCGACAGCTAAATGTTGGATAGAATTTCACCTGCTTCTATATATATATGTATGTATGTATATATAGATCGGGGACTTGTCATCCAACTCTTTAAATGCCATCGAAACAGCTCTGTAGCTTTTGATCCACTGTCTCTCAATCTCCCGTACACATACTTATGCGCAAACACCACACAAAACTGTACAATCAAGAATGATGGAGATGTTTGAAACCAACCCTTTTTACTATCACGATCAGCGCTATCTGGTGAGTGAAAGTATGGGCTTTCCGCACTTGGATGGCACTGGGGTGTCTCCCCTCTACCCGGGAAGCGAGGATGGCTTGTCTCCAGTTGGAGAGGCGAGCCAGGCTGAGCCGAACTGTGACAGTGGCGGAGAGGAGCATGTCTACGCTCCGCCCGGCCTGAAATCCCACTGCCCAGGCCAGTGCCTGATCTGGGCTTGTAAGGCGTGCAAGAGGAAATCAGCCAGCACCGACAGGAGGAAAGCGGCGACTCTCCGGGAGAGGAGGAGGCTCAAAAAAATCAACGAGGCTTTCGAAGCGTTAAAGCGCAGGACAGTGCCAAACCCTAACCAGAGATTACCGAAAGTGGAAATCCTGCGCAGTGCCATCCACTACATTGAGAAACTCCAGGACCTGCTACACAGCTTTGACCAGCAGGATAAACTGCAGGAGAATGTGGACCCGATCAACGGCTGCAAAAGCTCCCATTCAGTGGTAAGCGTGCATCAGACATCGCTGCCTCCCACCGTGTGCTGCAACTGCTGGTTTGCACAGTGAGATTTGAGAGTGTCTAACCCCTTCGAAATGTCTTCACAGGTAACTGCTCCAGACTGCTGGGGAACAAGCAGCTGTCCTTCAGAGTGGGGGAACCTGTCTGATCATTCGAATATCCAAAATAAAATCCACAAAGACGGTAAATGCATTTCTGCCAATTGCTAAGTCACCCAACCATAACAATTACATATTTTCAGAGGTTGCGATCAGCCCGTCTCTCCAACTGGGAGGAAACTCTCGCTGTCAATAATGAACGAAATGTAACGCTTCTCAGAAGTGTCTTTTTGACGTGAAATGTTGATCAAAACGAAATCAAGTGTTTGAGAGAGAGAGAGAGAAATAATCTGGACGAGGTCTTAACCTGTCGTTCCAGGCAGTTCAGTTTGTACAGCGAGTTAGAGCACTGCATTTATAATGTGGAGGAACACCGGCTGATGAGTCGCGTGAATTAGTGAGTAGGAACGCAGAAAATTCTGACAACTATCATTAACTTGCTTGGTGTTGTCTGCTTTGTTTTAAACAGGAAATAGTTCGGAATCATCAGGCACCAGCAGTCTACATTATCTGAGCTCGATAGTAGACAGTATTTCAACGGAGGAGGGCACTACGCTATATACCCAAGACTCAAATGCAAAGTAATATGATTTATTACGAGCCATAAGCTTGATTTAGATTTACACAATTGTTATGGCGTCAGTTCGCCATAGCTTTACTTGTCTGCCGAATAACTTTTTTTGCGGTGTTGTACCTAGACTTCAGTATTGTTTGAATGTGTCTTTTTTTTAGATTTAAAATATCATTCCCTTAAGATAAGGAAAAGGCCAAACATGTTAAACGAATTATTTGACCAAGATTAATTCTAAAGTAAAGCTTTGAATAACGTAAGTTGTAAATATGTCTGTAAAAAAATTGCTCGCATATATCCAGCAATAAGTTTCGTAATTTTATACGATATCTTTTCGTTTGTTTTAAGCAACATGGGTTTAACATTCATTGTAAAAACGGAATAAAAATTCTCTATTTGATGTTTTCAATATGTCTGGGAGCCGTGTTGTGCGATGATTACCGAAAGATGTAGAAAGATTGCCAGCAAGGTATTAGTGCTTCACTGCCCGCTATCTATAACCTCTCCCTAAGAGCCCAATACGGTAACATCACAAAACGTATTGAATAATGTGACAATTGTTTCATATGTTCACAGATGATACGGTTGGATAAACACAAATATTCAACGTTCTGACTTTTTGTCGACTATTTTAGTGGTATTTTAAATGGGTGTGTAGATTATTTTCCTAGAACTTTCGCTGTTGCAAATTTACTTCGTTGCATCGCTACCCATTGTCAGTAGGCCGTAGATGTTACCATTTCCAAGGCATCAGTGGTTTCAGGAATCCGAAAGAGAAAAGGGTTGAACAGAAACGCACCATATGCCGAATAAATAAACCAGTTTTAACTGGTGAGTGTTACAAGTATTTGCTAAAAGGGTTTAACTCAAGTCAAATAGGACTCTTATAAAATTTTTAAATGTTGAGACAATACTTCCATTTTGTTATATATACCAGTTTCAAACCCAGTTAACCAGTTTCAAAAATAATCAAGTGGTGCATTTCACATGGTAGGCAGTGCTGTTCTGATTCCAACAAGGGAAAAAGGCTTTGAAATTACTTGGCTCATGTCCGATCGTGAATTCCACCAAGTTTGGCCAGAAGACGTCAATACACGTGCTCTCTCCCAATGGTTAATAACTCAATCGCTCAGATAGTGATGAGGAAAGAACTCTCAATCTCCAAAAAAACAAATGGAGGCTGATTTAGGGGTTGGGGGTATTTTGAACAATAGATTTACACTATACAGTGTGAAGCCAAGCTGTAAAACTGCGACATCAAGAGGTCTTACTTCCAGTTTGCTGTGGATCCAGCAGGCCTCATCCCTGAATCCACACTCTGTTTAAAATGCATACTGATCCAAGATTGCTTGGCACCAATTTTAAACTTGACCTAGAATTTCACTGTTTCTGTTCACCAGCTTCTCTCTAGTAATGCCAATTTGTGGAAGTTTTATTGCACAGGTATGGCCACATACCAAAAACTAGAGAACTTAGGACCTGATTTACAAGATCCAACATTGACTGATTCTTAAGTGCATGTAGATTTAATGCTGGAGTTTACCCAATGAAATCACCCAATTTATCAGAAAGCGACTATTTGGCACAATGCTCCCGTGGAAGAACTATTCAACGAGCTCTTAACTTTTCTGCAAATTTCTGCATTATTTCCCACTTAAAGGTATCTTTCAAATTCTCTTTTGCAAGCCGTTATTAGATTGGCTTTCACCCTGTTTTTTTCAGACAGGAGGGAAACATTTTGTGTCATGCACACATTGTACACAAGATCATAAGAAATAGGCGTAGAACAAACTTTTAAGTGGTATGAGATAACTAGGTTGGAACTGGATGAATACAGCAGGCCAGGCAGCATCAGAGGAGCAGGAAAGCTGACACTTTGGGTCTGGACCCTTCTTCAGAAAATGGTTCATCCAGCTCCACACCTTGTGTATCTCAGACTCCAGCATCAGCAGTTCCTACTATCTCTTTTAAGTGGTATGGTAGCTCAGTGCCTCCTCACAGCACAAGAGACCTAAGTTTGATTCCACCCTCAGCAACTGCCTGTTTGGAGTTTGCACATTCTCCTTATGTCTGCATGGACTTCCTCTGGGTGCTCCAGTTATATCCCACAGTCCAAAGATGTGCGGGTTAGGTGGATTGGCCATGCTAAATTGCCCACAGTGGCCACGGATGTGTAGGCTAGATGGATTAGCCATGGGAAATGCTGGGATAGGGTATGGGAGTGGTTCTGGGTGGGATGCTCTTTGGAGGGTCAGTGTGGACTTGGTGGGCCAAATGGATTCTATGATAAGCCCATTGAGCCAGGTCTCTATTCACTAAGGTCACAGGCTTTAACTCCAATTTCTTGCCTACCCACTATAACACTTGATTCTCTTGTAGATAAAATCGCTGGCTATCTCAGTTCACTTAGTTAGACAAATGGTTACTCTTGGTTAGACAAATGTATTTAATGAATCAACTTCCACTTGTTGTCTGTGGAAGAGAATTCCAAAGATTAACGACCTTCTGAGAGAATAAATTCCTCCTTTTCCCAATCTCAAATAAGAGGTCCATTATTTTTAAACTGTGTCCCCTGCTCCTATGCACTCCATTGAGGAAAAAAAAATCCTCAGTGTTTACACTGTCAAACCCCCTCATAATCACATACTTCAATAAAATAATCTCTCATTCTTCTAAACTCCATTGACTGCAGGCCCAACATAGTCAATCTTTCATCATAAGACAACCACTTAATCCCAGTGTCTGTAAGGAGGGAGACCAAAACTATATACAAAACTCTAGGTCATACATTACTGTCATTAATGCCGTGCGCAGTTGGTGGAAGAACTCCCAACATTTGTACTCCTGCTTGCTTACGATAAAGACCCTCATTGCTTATAAATGTTTATAAAATGAAGGGGCATGGATAGGGTAAATAGATATGATCTTTTCCCTGGTGTAGGGGAGTCTGAAACTAGAGGGCATTGGTTTAAGATGAGAGGGAAAAGATTTAAAAGGGACCAAAGGGGCAGCTTTTTCATGCAGAGAGTGTTGCGTGTATGGAATGAGCTGCCAGAGGAAGTGGGTGGAGGCTGGTACAAATACAACATTTTAAAGGTATCTGGATGGGTATATGAATAGGAAGGGTTTAGAGGGGTATGGGCCAAATGCTGGCAAATGGGACAGATTTATCTAGGATATCTCATCAGCATGGACAAGTTAGACAATAGGGTCTGTTTCCATGCACTACATCTCTTTGACTCTAATTACTTGCTGAATCCTCATGTTAACTTTTTGCGATTCATGTTCAAGGAAACCCAGATTCCTCTGCAATGCAACATTCTGTAGTCTCTCTACATTTAAATAACGTAATGCATTACTATTTTTCTTAGAAAGTTGACATATTTTTCTGTATTATACTCCATCTGCAAAACATTTGCAAACTTAACTTTTCCAAATCCCTTTGCAGACTATTTGTATTTTCCTCATGACTTATTTGCCTACTTAGCTTTGTATCATTTTAAATTTGAATACAATACATTAAGTCCTTTCCTCCAAATCATTAATACAGCTCATAAACAGTTGAGGCCCCCAGCACCAATCTTTGTGGCATCCACTTGTTACGATGTGCTAACATTGAAATTACCCATTTATCCTAAAGCTCTGTTTTGAGTTAGTTAGCCAGTCATCTGTTCATGCTAGTATATCACCTCCAATACTGTAAGACTTTATCTTGAACATCAACTTTTATCAAATGCCTTTGGAAATCCAGACATACGCCATCTCTTGGTACTCCTTTATCCACTTTTCTCCTTACCCTAATAAGGTATCAATACCTACAGTTAGTGTTGAGTGGAAAAATCCCCTAATGACAAATCTACCCAACAGCTCTCAGCTATTACCTAGACAGGTTTGTCAATTTTCAGTGGTATCCTGAAGTAAACCTGGAATACTTGGTGGAAGTTTTGCATTATGCACTCCAGCATGTTCCACATCCCATTATCCTTACCTGTCTTCTTGATAAGGATTATCAATATTTGTTCATTGAGCAGCTAAAAGTTAAAGCTGGAGAAGAGGAATATATACTTTTTCTAAGAGCGTGGTAAGCAGCACAACTCACTACAAATGTGAGAACGCATTGTCTGTAATGTCCTAATTATGGCAAAGTCCAAAATTGCTAAACTATCACATGGAAGCAATTCTGCATGTTTAATAAAATAACCTGGTTAATTGAGTCAATCTGACAGAATAGTAATGATTGATGTCAAAATATTAAGAATATGGGATCCGGAGTAGGCAGATAAGCCTTCAAGCCTATTCTACCATTGAATGAGATATGAAGAATTTATGACCTAATTCTCTAAACCCTTCTTTACAATATATCTCTTATTACAATTGGTTCACAAAAATGTTCCATCTCAGATTTAAAATGAACAGCTATTCTAGCAGAAGCGCTGCTTGAAGAAGTGAGTTCCAAATTTTACCAAACTTTCTATGCAATAGTGTTTCCAAAATTCATTCTGAAAGGACTGGCTATATTTCTTTTGGCTATGTCCCTACTCCTAGATTCTCCAACCAGTGACAATAGTTACTCATAACCTACCCATCAGTTCTCCTTGGTTCGTTGCAAATTTTGATCAATTCATCAGCTTAAGCTTCTAAATTCCAGGATATACAATACTATATATTCTCTATTTATAATATAATCCTTAGAATCAACATATAATTCGAGCAAATCTATGCTACATTCCTTCCAAAGCTGATACATCTTTCCCCAATTGTTGTGCTAAGCAATCACAATACCCCAGATATGGTCAAATCATGGCTTTGCATAGTTGAACCATGACATATATGCCACTGTATTCTAGTCCCCTAGATAAACAGACCAGCACTCCATTAGACTTTTTAGAAAATTTCATTGTACATGTCCCTGACATTTTACTAGTGCATGTATATGGCTTCCCTATGTCTCTTTGAAACCGTATGTCTTTTATCTTTACACCATTTCGAAAGTAATTTGTTCTATTCTGTTTAG